CCTAGCAAGTACACTAGCTCGAATACAAAAGATGAGCAAACTGTTCCTGGACTTTTGCGAAGTGAGATCCTTCCCAGAATATTTTCCCGCACATTGCACAGCAATAAAATACGTCAATCTTTCGCTTCCAAGCATTATCAGTTAACAGCCCAAGCTTTAGGGGAACACCAGTCTCCTTAAGAGTCAACGTCTGGTAATCAATGGGGCAATCCACTGGAAGTGGTATGTTGTCAAGAAGGTCAGGGTTTTTCATTATATGGTGTGCTAGCTTCATGTGGTCAGGAATTACTTGGATGTATCTATTACCATTGCATATCTATTGAATTCAAAGGAAATCTTTTAAAACTTGGATATCTAGTGTCTAAATAGTTGGTACAGTTTCATCGGTGGCCTCTTTTAGTCTCGAATTTAATGGTTCAGTGTAAGCGCAAATCATTTCTTAGCATCATTCATTTTTATAAACAAATTTCAATTTTTCCAACTGAATGTCTTACTTCTAGAGCCTTAGCAAAATATTAGTAAATGGAGCACAGCGGTGACGTCATAATACCATGACAGATAAAAACGTTTTGCCATGCTCCTTTCATCACGTGACTTACTTGACAACGACTAAAGATGTCCTGTGATGTGACTCTGACGTTGAAGTGACGAAATATCTCCACAACTTGTTCTTTGACCGTTCCGACAGGTACGCAAAGACACATGCCCTCAGGGACTTTAGAACGCAGCTGAAAATAACATCAAAAATTAATGTGGCTGTTTTCTGGGGGAGAGGGTGGGGATGGCATTGAGTATTTGTTACGGTAATAAAAGAAGAAGTCGACTTACAGAGTAATACGGAGTTCCACTTGTTAAGAGGATTCTGTTTTCTTGAATGGCTACCTGATTAAATAACAACTTTGATTTACTTATAGCATAATCTTGTCTTACTTTATACGTTGAAAGACGAAATCGGGGAGAAACATAAAATACCCTTATAGACCACTTGCATGTGAAGTCAAAGAGCATCATCTGGAGGACAAAACAAAAGAGTTTTGCCCTCTTGGGAACTAGAGTCCATTCTTTTGTCCTCCACTTGAAGATGCATTCCCATGAGCTGCAAGGGGTCTTTTTAGCAGGTCATTTAATATATATTTAGTTTTCGATATTTCTTTAGTAATTTTGCGTTAGAATTACTTTTTGAATATAGACATAGGATGAAAGCAAAAGTGACAAAAGCAGTTATTTAAAGTGCATATGACACGATTTTTTTTATTTGAAAAATAGAGTCAATAGAACAAGCATAACAGGTTGCCTAATTACCACTTGATGCAGGTCTTCAAATTTCAGAGAAAATCGGAGTTAAAAATCCATTATGCTAATTTGATGACGTCAAGATGTGGTTGCTCTAAAACATTTCAACTGTGTTTTGTAACAAATGTTCCTAATATACCGATGTCAAACTTTCAAAGATTGCTTTTGATTACATAACAAATATCTTCTACAAAACAATAAGGTGACAATAAACAATCGGACAATTTTGTATAATTAATGAGTTACACTTTGACGTCATCAAATTAGCATTAAATCAATTTTTCTCTAAAATTAGAAGCCTGCATCCAGTGGGACTTTACAAAACTATTATTTTCTTCATATTGATTTTATTTTCAAAACAAAACAAAATCATGTCATATGCACTTTAACATCCCAAACCTTCGCTGCGTCCTCGTGACTAGTTCCAGTACTCAATATGTTAACATCTACACCACAACATCTAAGGTTTCTTCCCAGTCCCTGAAGCATGGTATCAACAACGATGGAAAGTTGACGAGGGGAGATTGGGTTATCGGTATTCACTGGTGCTGTTAATCTCTGAAAATATCAAAACAAATAGGGTATGTTGATAAGAAATATCGAGAGCTGGTCGTCTTTTGGTGTCAAGATGAAGTCCATATTTCATCGTCTACTGAATTGTCACACTTATTTGTTGAGGTAAACTGAGAAACAACCATCGGGCGACAATATAGCGCGATATCATAAGGATTACTTTATCAAAATTCAACGATAATTTATCCTTTAATGGTTACTCAGACTGTTTCATATTACCATTCCAAGTGTTCCAGGCTTTGGGTGCTTCATTCGATTGCCATTCCTGAAGAATCAAAAGCGGGAAATCAGGCTCCCTAAACAATGGGATAAATGGTTCAAAATTCAGGGTTGGGTTAGACGAAGGTTAGATAGCGTTATCCAACGAATAAATTCTCAATGGATAAAATCCATTTAAAATCTATGAAGTGAATAACTTTATCCCACGCTAGGTCACTGAAAAAAATCGCGCGCTTTAAAGGTTGTAAATTTGATGTAAATATGATGTAAGTATCCAAAATGATGTAAACTTGATATATATCATTTACAGCATTTACAGAGTTTGCTGAAGAAGGCCGAAGTGCCGAAACGTTCTAATAAAGAGTGGAAATACTAGTTGCAAGTTGTGTGCCTTTTTCTTCAATTTATTCAATTTATAATTTACAGCATATTTACATCAAATTTACCACCTTTAAAGTGCGCGATTTGTTTAGGGTGACAACCCTTTCGATGGTAAGTACAACCAAACCCAGGTGAATATCGTTGGGAAGCGATACCGTGATTTCTTCTTTTTGTCAGCTCCAAGGGATGATAAGTAGAGTTCTGGCTCCATGTTGACATACGTACGAGATTCCTTTACCCACTGGTGAAGCACTGTGTATACTTCCAATAAACAATAAGCATCTAAAGCTAAATAGAAAACACTAAATGTGATTAATTTGGTCATTATTCAGAGATCACGACAGACGGAGGAGACTCTCCTTTTCTTTCAATTATTACTTTTCCCTTTATTTCTGTTGTCCAACCACCATGAACGATTATAGAATAGGGTGTGGCCTGTCTATAATGGTTTAAAAATAGGGTGTGGCCTGTCTATAATGGTTTAGAAATAGGGTGTGGTCGGTCTATAATGGTATAAAAATAGAGTATGGTCGGTCTATAATAGTTTAAAGATGGTGTGGGTCGGTTTTAAAATAGGGTGTGTTCGGTCTATAAACGTTTGTTATTACCTGCATACACAAGTTGTTCAGCAAGCAGTGGTCGTCTCTCCCAATCAGACACCTGATACGTCTTGTCTAACGGTTTTCCCAAACACAGCATGACAAGCTCACTCAACCCTCTCTCCATATCAAATCGTCTTAGTTGTCTGCTTTCCCTAAATGACTTGACCTTCTTTTTGACTTGAGGAAGGTCGAGGATCTTAAAAGAAAACATTGGTATGAATACCGATTAATAAACTTTATCTACGAATCAAACTGTTGATTTTTTTTTCTAAGAAAAA